CGTCGGGGAAAATCGGCAGCGCAGATTTTTTGACGAACATGGGCTGGACGCTGGGCTGTCCAGGCCAGGCAGGAAAAATCGTCAAGGAATTGCGCTGCCGAAGCAGGGGCTGTTCAGGCACAGCGGGCAGTGTGGGAATCGGCAGCGCCGACGAAATCGGCAGAATCGGCAGAATCGGCAGCAGGTGCTGACGATGAGTCTGGACTGTTTATAGTCCTAGGCTTGACGAAAAAGACTGGGGGCCTAGGCACACGCTGGGGCAGGGGCAGCGGCAGCGATGCCAACAGTGGGAAAAATCGGCAGCGCGGATTTGTGCAGCTGGAGGCCCGTCGGGGAAAATCGGCAGCGCAGATTTTTTGACGAACATGGGCTGGACGCTGGGCTGTCCAGGCCAGGCAGGAAACATCGTCAAGGAATTGCGCTGCCGAAGCATGGGGCTGTTCAGGCACAGCGGGCAGTGTTGGAATCGGCAGCGCCGACGAAATCGGCAGAATCGGCAGAATCGGCAGCAGGTGCTGACGATGAGTCTGGACTGTTTATAGTCCTAGGCTTGACGAAAAAGACTGGGGGCCTAGGCACACGCTGGGGCAGGGGCAGCGGCAGCGATGCCAACAGTGGGAAAAATCGGCAGCGCGGATTTGTGCAGCTGGAAGCCCGTCGGGGAAAATCGGCAGCGCAGATTTTTTGACGAACATGGGCTGGACGCTGGGCTGTCCAGGCCAGGCAGGAAACATCGTCAAGGAATTGCGCTGGCGAAGCAGGGGCTGTTCAGGCACAGCGGGCAGTGTTGGAATCGGCAGCGCCGACGAAATCGGCAAAGTCGGCAGAATCGGCAGCAGGTGCTGAAGATGAGTCTGGACTGTTTATAGTCCTAGGCTTGACGAAAAAGACTGGGGGCCTAGGCTCACGCTGGGGCAGGGGCAGCGGCAGCGATGCCAACAGTGGGAAAAATCGGCAGCGCGGATTTGTGCAGCTGGAAGCCCGTCGGGGAAAATCGGCAGCGCAGATTTTTTGACGAACATGGGCTGGACGCTGGGCTGTCCAGGCCAGGCAGGAAACATCGTCAAGGAATTGCGCTGGCGAAGCAGGGGCTGTTCAGCCACAGCGGGCAGTGTTGGAATCGGCAGCGCCGACGAAATCGGCAGAGTCGGCAGAATCGGCAGCCGGTGCTGACGATGAGCCTGGACTGTTTATAGTCCTAGGCTTGACGAAAAAGACTGGGGGCCTAGGCACACGCTGGGGCAGGGGCAGCGGCAGCGCGGATTTGTGCAGCTGGAGGCCCGTCGGTGAAAATCGGCAGCGCAGATTTTTTGACGAACATGGGCTGGACGCTGGGCTGGCCAGGCCAGGCAGGAAAATTCATCGAGGGGATGCGCTGACGAAACAGGGGCTGTTCGGACACAGGAGGCAGTGCTGGAATCGGCAGCGCCGACGAAATCGGCAAAGTCGGCAGAATCGGCAACGTCGGCACAATCGGCAGCAGGTGCTGACGATGAGTCTGGATGGACGGACTGCATATGACCCGGCTGCCCGCAACGAGTCATTCAATTCTCTGCCCTATCAACATAACTCCCGATGTGTTGTTCGCTATCTTGGAAGAAGAGATCTCTTCCTCCCCGGGATGGCCGGGTGCGATTACCCGGCGGCGTCATTCAAATCGCTGCCCTATCGGCTACAACTGCTGATGGGGGGATTAGAGGCCTGCCATGGTGGTGAGGGGAGGCGAAGACCGTGAAAGCAAGAGCTTTCCCGGGGCTCCTCCGTTGGCCGCGGCATGCGAGCTGCCGGTTTTCCCGCATTCCGCCAAGAAAACGTCGTGCTTCCCACATGAAATCAATCCAGTAAAACCAGCCATATTTTTGTGAGGCTGCCAGCTGAATTTGGGGTCATTCCGGGCTGGTCACTATTTTTGCGTATTTCCTTGATTTTTAACGGTAGGAAAATAAACAAAAATACTTCCCGGCCACGAAAAAATCCGGGATTATTTCTGGAGGTGGATTGGATTATTGCCAACCTATGTGCAAAATTTCAGCTCAAAATACGAAGAAATGAATTTTTTAGAGGGGGGGTGACAGCTGGGACCTAGTAGTGTCTACCCCTGCCAGAGCTGCAATAACACTTATAGCTCTTTAGGGGGGTGCCCCCCGACTGGCCATGGGGCGCGCTGGCTGGCGCCCATAGGCCTGCCGCGGGGGATTTGCGAGCTGCCGCTATGCTAGGACTAACGTGGGGGGCCTCACGGCCCGAAGTAACGCCGCCATCGATGACCCGTTTTCCGGCCGGCGACGACCCGATTCCGGCCAGCGTCCCTATAAAAATCACACACGCGCGCGCGCGCGCCCGCCCGCGCCCGCGCTTG